CTGAATGAGGGACATGATAGTCGCATGATTTTGTTTGCCGACCTGCGCGTCCAGTCAACCCCCAGCTCCCCCCTCCCCCACCGCTCTTCTCCCATCCTCCTCCTTTATGTTTTCCTATCCCTGCTCCTCCTTCTCCTATTCCTGCTCCTGCTCCTGCTCCTTCTCCTGCTCTTGTTCCTCCATCGCTCTCCCTCCTGCTCCTCCCCATCCTCCTCTTCCTTGTTCTCGTATCTCTGCTCATGCTCTTCCTGCTTCATCGCTCGCCCTCCTCATCCTTCCTCTCCCTGCCCTCTCTCCTCCTTCCTCCTGCTGCACTTGCCTCCTCGAAGTGCGATCGTTGAGACTCCAACGTCTGCTCGGCCACTAGGAGCTGGGGGAGGAGATCAGCGGCAGCCCAGCAGAGTTTGAGCAAACCTCCCCGCAGATCGTGTTCATTTGAGTCTGCAGACCCGTGACCTCGGCTCGGATGTTTCGAAGGTCCTGCGGGTAAGATGAGAGGGAGGAGGAAGAGAAAGGGAAGGGAGGGAAGGGAGGAGGACGGACCACACGAGTAGGAGAAGGAGAAGGAGAGCGAGAGCGAGGAGGAGAAGAAAAGGAGAGAAAATGGGGGAGAATATGAAGGACGAGGACGAGGACGAGGACGAGGACGAGGACGAGGACGAGGACGAGGACGAGGACGAGGACGAAGGAAGCAAACAATCTTTGGGACCTGCTGGGATTTCACTTCCTGGTTCATCATGGTCTCGACGTTCTTCTTCATCTCGTCGGTGATCTCCTTCTGCGACTGCAGGAGCTTCCTGATCTCTTTCTCCTTCTCCTTCATCAGCTCCTGCTGGTTCAGCGAGTCCTCCAGCCGCCGGTACAGCACGTTTCTCTCGTGCTCCACCTGCGTCAGGATAGCCTTCGCTTCTGCTCTCTCCCGGATCATCCCCTCCTCGTGCTCTGTCATGACGCGCGCGAGTTCCTTCCTGTGCTCGTCCTTGAGCAGCGACATGTCCCTGGCCATGTCCTGCTCCCTCTCCTGCTGCTGCTGCCACAGAGATCGCACCACCTCCTCGTGCTTCACGCTCATCTGCCGCATTATCTCCTCCACCTCCTTCCTGCGGCTCTCCAGCACGCGGAACATCGCCTCCTCCTTGCTCCTCGATCCCTTGACATAGAGCTCCTTGAGCTTCTGCATCTCCGCTAGCAGCACCTGCTCCTTCCTCTTGCTGCTCGTGGCTCGAGCTCTTGCCATCTCCAAGACTGACCTAGCATGCTCCACGGCCGTGAGCTGCGAGGACATGAAGTTCATCTCCTCTGACTGATGCACCAGCGCCATCTGCAGGCGCCTCGCGTCCTCCAGCAGCTTCGCCGTCTCCTTCTCCTTCTGCAGCTTCTCCTCGCGAGCTCTCGAGACCTCCTCCATGGTTCTGTGCAAGGCGAACAGGGCAGAGCTGGCGAAGACGGAGGCATCAGGAGGAGGATGAACGAGATACGAGATGCTGTGGATCTCGTTGGAGTCGACAAACATCTCCATCCTTCGGATCTGCTCTGTTATGATCGCCATATCCTCCCCGCCCTCTCCCTCCTGGTCCTTCCCCTTCACACTCTTAGCCCCCCTGCCGTTCCCAGCGCTTCCCAGAGTAGAGAGCAAGCCTCTTCCGACTAGTATGTTGTTCGCTTTGTCCTCCACCTCCATGAGCACCGCTGCTACTTCGCTCTCCTGCGTCCTTCCGGCTTCTCCCAACCCTTGATCGCCATAGTGTGGCGCTCCTCTAAAAGCGTTTCGAGGAAGGTACACTGTGAATGGGATTTTGCGAGGAAGAGGAAAGCTAGCCAAGCTTCTCAGGCCATGAACAATCGCTCGTCCTAGACCTCCTCCTCCCTCAGCTACTGCATGGATCACCCCGCGCGGTGTCGATAGCGCGTCAGCTCCATCCACTTCCACCCATACGTCTCCCTCCCTCACCCCTGCATCCCAGAGCACCTGCTCTAATGTCTGCTCCTGTCCTCCTCCTCCTCCTCCTCCTCCTCCTCCTCCTCCTCCTCCTCCTTCCTCTATCACTCGCTCCAGAACGTCGACCTTCACGCCGGTTTCGCAGCGCCGCAAGCTGAGTCTAGCCATGTCGGAGGAGTCGGCAACGAAATTGGGGTAGGGGTACACAGAAGAATTAAGAAAGCCTCAATGATAGGGTAGTTTTGAGGTACAGAAGTACCGGTGAAGCAATAACTTTTCGAAGTGAAAGGGGTAGGGGTCCAGTTTGAGGTACAAACAATGCCGAGGAACGCGAGTTGCCGAAAAGGCGTGAATGAGGCGAAGGAAGGGAAGGACGACGAGGATGTGAGGGAAGACGAGTATGAATGAAGAAGGAGAAGAAGAAGAGGGACGAGGAGATGAGTGATGGTGAGAGAAGTAGAGAAACGAAAAGTAAAAACAGTCGGTGAAAATACAGATTTCGGATTTTTGAGAGCAAATAGAACATAAGGACAAGTGGGGTTGGTTGAAGTCAGATGGTAGAGAAAGAAATTAAGGGTGTTGAATCAATCACGCATGAGACCAAGCACTTGGCGAGTGGAGGGGCAGATCGGAGGGTTTGAGAGCGAGTCATGCACATGTCATAAATTGTGTATCTATACATGTAGAAGTGACTGCAAAACATGACATGAAATATGCAAGATCAGAGCTCTTATGCAGATTATGACAACGTCGCGGGCTGCGCCTTCACTGGAGATCAAGCATAGAGATGCAACTTGTTGAAGAGATCGAATGAAGTGTCGGGATTTGATAGTATGTTGGCATCTTATGATAATGGGCATCCTCTCCGCCAGACCTTCTCGAATTGTGTGAAATTAAGTCCTGCAAACATGCGTCAGAGGACCTGAAACTCACTCCGTTTCCATTACTTCCGTCGCGATCCTCGTCGAACTCAAAGAAAATTTCTTCGATTAAGCGCTCGCTGATATGCGGCGCCACTTCTCTGAAGCAAGGCGTTACGAAGGCAGGAGAATGCTGAGGAGGAGGAGGAGACCTGAAAGCATGTTTGACGTCATCGAGCGTGAGAAAACCTGCAACATCATCATCACTCGTTCATAAAGCCTGTACAATCACAACCAGCAGATCTTCGATCGAACGCTTTGAATGCCTGCGGCAACTTCATTCACTGTCCCTCTCTCTCGTGTACAAGCAGCAAGCTCTCCAACACTACCTGCCGAACTTCGTCGACTGAACTGGATCCGATGTCGATCTTTCGGCGGAGCATGGCGTCATAGAAGACATCCCATCCAATCTCAAATATCATGTCATGGGTTTTAGCAATGTGTCGTCTCACCTGCTCCTCTTGCATCGTTTTCTCGCCGAACAAGCGCAAGAGCTCGTATGGTGAGGGCTTGTACCCGAAGAGGTTGATAACTCCCAACTTCGTCTGCATCTTCATCACAACAGTGCATCGCAAGATGTCAGAGCACCTGATGGAGATCCAAGAACCCATCCTGGTCCTCATCATATTTGTGGAAGATGGCCTTGACTTCTTGCACGAACTTGCAATCCGTGTTAAGGGTTCTTTCCGCTTCAGCCAGTGGCGACATGAATGCGAGGCGAGCGTGACACACACACACACACTGTTGATGGCTGTGGAGTGTGTCTTGTATTTGGTAGTTCTTGGTGTCAGATGGTTGCTGCTACGTTTCTTTCTCCGTGCATCTGTCCAATCAGCCATTCAGGCTCACACTCCTATCCACTCCACACACATCCCAATCGAAAGGGGCATCCTCAGCTTCACCATTCCTACGCAAGAGGTACATCTTTGTTCTCGTTTCTGCTTATGTGATCTTTCAACATGTTGTCCGGTTCGACTTTGACTTGGAACTGGCTGCTGCTGGCATAAGCGCATGAACCTCTTTTATGCTACCTGGCTGTCTCTGCATCGGAATATCAATCTGCAAGAGAAAGGAAGTCTATCTTCAACCATACTCTCATCTATCTTCAACCATCCTTTCATCTATTATCTCTGCTCAATCTCATCATCGCAACCGTTACACACGTGCACGCCATCTCTTGTTCGGAAGCCCTACCTTCCCGCCATTAGGCTCCTGGCACGTTTGACAAAACATTTCAGTTAAAGATGTCATTGAAACGGTTGGTAACGGTTATTGGGGGAGGCGAGATGGGGTGGGGGTGGAGATGGGGTAGGGGGGTAGTCTTGCACCACAAAAATGATTGAAACACCCCTGTGTAAAAGCAAAACTTCTAAGTAAAGTACTAGGGTGGGTTCTGGTCCTAAGCAAGGGGTACAATTTCGGGCACTTAGGGGTAGGGTCCTTACAATAGCGAAGAGACAGGCGACGATGGCGACAGCCGCTAAGTCGGCGATGGCCGCGGTTGGATTCTCAGGTGATCCGCAGGAACTGGAGGGCGAGAGAGAGAGAGAACTAGATAGTTGCAAGAGATCAAAGGAATGAATCAGGTAGATGACGAGTGCGATATGCTAGTGATCAAGAAGGGAGAACAGAGAGATATTTGGTTTGTCAAATGAATAATGTAGACACTGACGGTAGTCGCTGATACAATCTGAATCATATATTGAATGTAATATAAGTAGGAAACGATTTTAGTTGAGAAATGGTATCAAAGATAGGAGAAAGAGAATCAATAGCATGAAGATCAAACTTCCTCACGCCAACTTCCAACAATTCTAGAGACAGCAAACAGAATTACAACAGTTGGGTTGGAAGGTTCCGCGAAAGAGGCCCACTACTACAATGGCGTAGATTTCAGCAACAGGACTTGTGATGTAGAATATTAAAACACAGACACCAGGGCATTGCATGTACACCTTTCTAACTGATCTTGAACTGAGTCCCTCGATGCTCACTGAATGTTGCAGTCGTGGCCCTCATCGTATGTTTGGCCCTCATCGGGAGTTCAAACTTGTCGCGCAAGGCAGTGCTGTCGAGCAGGGCTCAGATGCTCCGCACTATCGACCTCAACAAAGACAACAAGGTAAGTCGACATGCGCACGTTCACTCTGCATTATCTCACTATTTGGTGTTGGTGCTTCGGCAGAACCTGGACATCGTGAAATATTTGAAGTCAAACAAGGACATCAAGACTCCGCTGCGAAGGCATATGAGACGCTTGTCTCCCCAAGAGATTCTTCGGGAGGATTCCAACAATGTGGATGACCTGAGATCTCCCGCTCCCTCCAACCTCCGAGGGCTCGGACCCGATGGGCTGAGAGATGAAGGGTCAATCTCCGATCTTTACCTCCTGGGCTCTCTGAGCAGAGAAAACAAGGTTGACTCTGCTCGTATGGACGCAGTGGATGCTAGGCACAACATTCCGAGGGCGAACTCTTTTTTGGCTAGAAGAAGGAGAGTGCACGACATGGCAACTGCTGAGAGCAGGGTGGACTCGAAGGCTGAGAACCTCTTGTTCAGCAAGCGCAATCCTGAGCCGTTTCATATGATCAGAGATGGGGAGAGTCAAGCTGGAGGGCCTCCGTCTTGGCACGAGGACAGCTTCAAAGATAAGTTCTCTACCGCACAGATTCCAATCGCCACCGGCGACAGCTTCAAGAACAAGTTCCATGCGCTGACTGTCAAGTCCAACGACGATGGGAGCTCCAGCGACTCGGATCAGATGCCTGCTGTTGACTTGGGTGCGGAATCTGACAGCGAGAGATTGGCGGATCCCAACCCAGCACCATTGGCTGCCCCGAGCAAGGGAATCTGGATCGAGCCAGGATCGAATAAGGGGTATGACAGCTACGCTCTCGACTCACTGCAGGACAAGCACGCTGCATAGATGCGTTTTAACTTCAACCTTGACAATTCAACCTTGCTTTGCATGAATGAACATTCCTACCACGTGAGGCTGATTGCTGGAGTGACAGTTAAAGATATGCGCTTGCAGGCAGACCACGACAGTGCAAACTTTCTTTCATTTCATGATATTCTCACAGTGTACACCCAAAATTATCACTACATCACATGAACTCCTCAAACTGCTTCCACACTGAACTCGCCCACGTCAAACATCTTAACAAGTTTTCATCCTCGGAAAGCCTTCCTCATGCTTTATGTTAACATCCTCTCACTTCCCCTGGCTGGAGTTCGAGCTCCCGGTGTCTTGACCTGTCACAACTTTGTGTCTATCATGCCAGTCAAGCTTCCAAGCCATCTCATCTCTCTTCCTTCCTTTTTCCACAGCGCTCTGACCACTAGGAACATGTAGACCTGTGAGTTTCTTCTGCTCCTCATCGATCAGTTTGCGTGCTTTTATCGCCATCCTGTCAGTCACTTGCTCCAAAGCGTTTCTGCCGCCGATCAACAGCCGTGAGATGATCTCGGGGTCTTTCTCATAGCGCGCGTCCTCGAACTCCTTCCGAGCGCTCGCCACCAGCTTGTCGCGCCAGATCTTACCGTCTTTGTCTGCCCATGTGAAGTGCTTGGCTGCCTTGAGGATCTCGCGGTAGAGCTGCAGAGACTCTTTGCGAATCACATCCAACTGGGGTCGAGGTCCCTTGGACAGAGTCAAATTCTTTCCATACAACAAGCAGATGGATTTCACCTCTTTGACAAGCGTCACAGGGTCTCGGTCCTCAGGAAAGACGACGATACTTCTTTGACAGACACGGGAGCAGCTTCTTCGCACGACTAATGCACATGGCCGAAGCCTGTGAAAAAAAGACCACATCTACCACAAGATAATCAGGCCTCATGCACAACACAGGTCAGAGTCATCTATGCAAAATGCAGCAGATGCACAGAGTTACAGGGGAACGTGTACTTGAAGTGCGCAACCATCTTGTACAACAAAACGTAGGACATGATGTACAGTTGCCACCATAATTTTCTGGTCCAGTGCGTTGACACTCTCATTTCTTTCCCTGAGGTATTAAACTTGTCTTGTTTCTGCGTTCCCTCTTGTTGGGTTCCCATCATTCATTGATAATTCGTCGACCTCATTCTCCTCTCTCTTAGTTGTCTATCTCCTCGCTCAGTCTTCTTCCTTGCCTCCCCTCATACCATCCGTATGCCTCAACTTGTGGTCTGGAACATCTTTCCTCTGGAGGGGTGCTTTGAGTATCAGTTTCATGGGTGGGGGTTCATCACCCCCACCCCTCTTGTTTCCTACTGATACACCCGTGATTTTGGAAATGCACTCCCATTCCTTTTGTTACTTTGTGGGGGTAGTGGGTGGGTAGTAAATCATCCCCCTCCTATACCAGGTGATTGTCCAAAGGCCCTCATCCCCATCCATCAATGTGCCCTCATCCCCCAACCTCCATCGCGAAGAGTCGTTTTTTTTTCGGGAGCGTCGAAGAGTTGTGGCGGCCCATGGCAGCTTGAGGGAGTTTGGGCGGCGAATGCTCGCTCCTCCTCTGTGCCCGTCCCTCCATGCTCTGATCCCTCTTCATCATGCTATCTTTCATATCCCTTCTGCTCCCTTGTTGTCTCCATGTTGTTTTCTTTTTCATGGTCCCACCATTGTATCTCGTCGTTCCGCTCTGTATGGGCGCGGGACATCGAAGTAATCCGTTGAGAAACTTTCTTGCCTGCAGCTTTTCCTCTTGCTGAATGTCTCATGCTCATTGTCTTGCTCAAATATTCTACATTTTGGTGAAATATTTGAAAGGATTACTGTAGCTCTCAGTGAGGATGTAAAAAAAAGTGAGATTGGACGTTCTGTCCGATGTTGACTTGATTCTTCCATCAGTAAGTTTTTCATAGCAATGATGTTCTTCGATGTAGCGTAATTTCAGGTTAATGTATAGCTTCTATCCTCCTTGTCCAAGATAGATCTGAAAGATGTGGGTTCTGAAAACTTGAAAATTTCTATCAAATTCTTTACACGACATGCAATTTTTCAAATGGAGAGGTTGTTCGATTAGTTATTTCTTCCACGAGCTTCACCATGCTCAATTGAAATATGGCTCTCTCCCTTCTCCCATCCATATTCTGACGTTTCCTGGTGTAGCTTCGAACATGCCGCAGGAGGAGAGCATCCTGCTAAATGTTAACGAGAAGTACGGAACCACAGAGACCGAACAGGGCGAGAAGTCCAACCGCAGGGTCAACATGAAGATGGTGGCGGGAGCTGTTGGCCTTGTTGCCTTGGCCATCGTTGGTGTCGTCACCCTCACGAACAAGGCCTCGTCTAAGACTGCCTTGGCCGATGACGTGGCGAAGAGGCTCGGGTACAGCCTTGAGCGCAAGCCCAGGATGTTCTCCATGCTCCAGGGCGAAAACGTCGTCGCACCTGTCCCAGCCATCTCTGCTGTTGCTGGAGCTCACGCTGCTTCTCGTGGAACTGCTGGCGAAGCCAACGCTCTCGAGTCCCAGATCTCTGACCTCAAGAAGGAAATCCAGGCCATCGCGAACACCAAGGAGCTCGAGGCTAAGCTCCAGGCGAAGATCGCACAGGACAGAAGGTAGAGAGGAGCGCTGAGTGTGTCAGTGTATTCTGAACATGCTGCAGGAATGACGAGGCCGATGTCGCCCACGAACTCGCTCTCCAGAAGACTCTTGCCGAGCTCAAGCTCCTCGCCAAGGAGAAGTTCGACCAGATCAACATGGACAAGGAGAAGGAAGGCGGTCTCACTGCTGAGGAGGCAGCTCAGCTGGACCAGCAGATTTTGGCACTCGAGAACTCTCTCAAGGTCTGCTTGCCTTGATGTTTGAACCGGCAGGTTGTGACGCTGTTGGTCAGGTTCTTGAGAGCAAGATGATGGAGATCGAGCACGACATCTCGGCCCTTCATGCCCACGAGAAGATGTCCAGGAATGCTGTTGCCGACGGCGAGGCTGTCCTCCATGCCGAGGCTGTCGAGCAGGCTGAGGAGGAGGCTGCCCATGAGGCGACTGAGGCCGACGAAGCTCTCCTGAACAAGCAGTTGGAGATCGAGTACGCCGACCAGACTGAGATCACCAACATCGAGGCCGAGATCAACGCGGACAAGTCCTTTATCGAGACCCTCAAGAAGCACATCTCCGCCTCCACCTCCCTCTCTGATGCTGAGAAGGCTCAGCTCGAGGCCGAGCTCAAGGCCGAGGAGGCTGACCTTGCCCGCCTCGAGGCCCAGCTCAAGGACGAGCAGGCCAAGCTCGAGAAGGATGCCGAGGAGGGAGCCAAGCTTAGGGAGAAGTACGCAGGTGATCAGCTCAGCTGGTGTCCAGCTAAGGTTCTGATCCGATGGCAGGTGACCTTGCGAGGGAGCACTACGATGAGATGGAGATCTCCATGGACGTCAACGAGATGCACAACATCCTCTTCCCTGCTCCTGCTGCCCCTGCCAAGGCCAAGGATGCCAAGGCCGAGTCGCTCAAGAGCAAGGGCAAGCCCTCGAAGATGTAAGGCAGGGCCCCGAGCTCTCGTCACGTGGTTAAGACGTTTAGAAACGAGTTTTGACGCTCGCATGGCACATGATCGCAGCTCGTGGGTTGTGCGACCGGGTGTATCTCCAGCTGGTTTTCACGCAGTTAGCGGCAAGTATGCTGAATTCACTTCCCAACAACAAAGAACAAAAAGTCAAAATCGCAGGTTCCTCCCCTCGAACTTGGCGTTTATCTGCAACCACTCTCGTCATCCTCCCTCCCTCCTCTTCCTCCCTCGCCCACCTGCAGCGCGAGGGTTCGAGTGAACTCCGCGAGTCCATACGCCTGCGGCAAGCTCAGCTCAACGCCGGAAACGTTCTTGCGCTGCCTTCTCAAGGGAGGCCTGCACCTCCTCGGCCACGTCCTGCCAGGCAACGTCAGCTGCACGCCAGCTGCTCCCGAGCTGGGGCTGCAGGCCTTGAGAGAGCGCGAAGAAATCTTGTCGACGGTCCTGGAGACGATGATGTTGGTGAGCTCGAAGAGGACCTTGTTCTCGGCCGGTTGTTGCTGTATCATCAGACGATCAGCGGAAGGGAAGCGAGCATCGCGCTTGCTCTACCCTCTTCATCAGCTCGGCCTCAGATAACCCTGCTCCTCCTCCTCCTCCGGGGTCTGCGGGCTTCTTCCCAGAAAGAGGAGGAAGGCGCATTGCGCCTGCAAACCTTCCAAGAAACCCTGGCTCCTTCAGTCAGCGACTCCACTTGGGGTGTCACCAGCTCTTGCCTTTGCTCTGACCGTCGCTTGCCTTCTGCTGCTCCTTCTCCGCCTTTTTCTCCGCCTTGATGTCCTCTTTGTCCAGGATTTCTGCAGTAGAGTAGAGGTCATGCCCAGGTAACCTCCTCCTCTCCTCTATCCCTCTTCCCTCCTTCAACTGCTCCTTCCCATCACTCTCCTGTTCTTCGCCCTTCTTCCTCGTTCTGTGTTCTCATCCCTGCTCCTCTTCTAATTCTTCCCGACGGCGGCTTCCTCTTTCCACTTACTCGCATCGTCAAACTCTCCGACGCCCAAAAACTTGCCGTTCTCCCATTCCTTCCTCGCACATCAGCCTCGTCGCAGGCAGCACGCGAGACTTCACCCCATCTTTGACAAGCTTTCTGCTGTAGCTCATTGTTTGACGCGCGTCCTTGCAAACTCTTCAGCAGTGGGACATCGGAGCGTCAGGTACCTTGCCCTTGAGGCCGATTTCTCGTCCTCTTATTCTCCTTCCCTTGCCTGTCTTTCAAGGTCAACCCGTTGCTCCTTGTGTAACGCGAGCTGCTCGCACCAGCTCGCCACGTCCCGTGCCCATCTGCTTGCGAGTCTCAGACATCAACAGCACATCCATCCCCGCACTCTCTCCCTCCTCGTCCTCATCCTCTTCCATGTCTGCCGTCTCTTCGTATGACAACTTTACTCACCCTGATTTCCGTCTCGGAAGCAGCCGATGTAAACATCGCCATTCTTCCATGTTTGTATACCCCAGCCCTGCCATCCGCTCACTCCCTCACGTTCTTATCGTCGCCTAGCACCATCGGCTTGTCTTGCATCCATCCACCAACGTACTCCTCGAGCAACTCCTTCACCTGATCGCGTCCGTCGATGTCAATCAAATACCTCCTCAACTTCACATCATTCAATTTCATCGTCATGCGTAGCAGAAGTTGCACCACCACCACCACCACCACAACCAACACCAACACCAACACCAACACCAACACCAACACCATCATCATCATCATCACCATCATCATCACCACCACCACCACCACCACCGCGGGAGAGAAACAAACTTTCTTTACCCATGTCTGCGAGTAGATGTAACTGAGCCAAGTTAGCAACGAGCTGCAACAACAAGTTCTCATCACCTCCCATGTCCTTGTCGCTGCCCCATGTACCACTCGCCCCTGTACAACCCTCCCAGGCGGAAGGAGGCTTCTCCTATCTGCAGCACATGCTGTGAACCCTCCGCTCATCCCGCTGCTCATGCAGCAACTCACTCCATGCATCTTGTCCTCCCACCACATCCCGAGATACTTGGAGCCGTTGGCTGCTCCTCGTTCAGTCGACCTTCAACCTCTAGATCAGCAGCAGCTCCTACCGTACAGCATGATGCCCCTGCCATGCCGCTTGCTCTCCTTCACATCGCCGATATACTGCGAGCCGTCGGGGTACGCGATGACGTCCGTCCCTGTCACGTCTTGAGCCTCATACCGAGCAAGAAGGTTCAAACCGTTGACGACTGGGAGGGAGCGGTGGCGCATGAGAGCAGCGAGGTCTGTGCGATGATCGTAGCATAACTCGCACCTGCACTCACTGAGTGACGGGAGACGAGGCAGTTGATCTCTCACCTCTCATAGTCTTCCTCCAGCGCTCTCCTCGTCCTCGTCGACTTGGATGCATAGCCATCTGCTGTGTCTGCCTCCTGACATGGCACACGCTCCCAAAGCCTTGCTGGCCCCTTGCTGAAGGCAGTTGAGCGATTCGGCGCGACTGGGCGGCCACAGGAGGAGCATCGCCGATGTCGATTCGTGAAGGCGAAGGCTTTGGGAGCACAGCGTGACTGGATGTTGTGCGAAATCGTTAGCTCTTGTCCCTCCTGCTCATCTCCAGCTGCGCTCTCAGGTCCTTCCTCGTCTGATGACGTCATTCTCTCTATTTGCTGCAAGGCAGGGAGAACGTGTTGTCAAACTCCAGGGCAGTACGAGCTGGTCTCACTGACACAACAGCGACCTCAGGCTAGTAGACTGCGATCGGTGTGGCAGGTCGAGGCAGTGCGACTCAACGTGCGCTTGTCCTGAACCAGCTGGCTTTGTTTCTGTCCTCTCTCGCTCGCTCGCTTCCTCCTCCTCCTCCTCCGTGACTTGCCGTCAAACTGACATGCGGTAACTCTAACTTGTTTGGTTTGACTCCTGGTTTGACTCCTCCATGGTATGAGTGGGGATGTGGACCGTTCGACGCACGGTGCACTGCCGCGGCCGCCGCGGAACAGTGCCATGATACCGGGAGTACGGTCTTTTCAGTACTCAAAGTTATAAGGAGAGTAGAAAACGATCGCTATGTATCTTGGTATCATCGATCATCAAAGCTGGAAGATCCTGTCAAGGCGATGATCCGAAATGCTTTGAGCTGAGTCCATTGAAACCACTCAGAGTTCATATCTGAGTATCCGCAAGACGTGACCGTGGCCAAGTCGGCTCCCAATTTCTTTGCAACTTGAAAGTTCTTACCCGTGGGTTTCCGAGTCACTAGTAGTTTTGAAGCCGCAGCCAACCCTCATCCCGGCTGCCCCGTACTAGCCTCCCGGATCCGACCGGCTCCGAAGTTGTCAGTGAAAGTGACAAGAGCCGCTCAACCCCGCGGCGTCGGTGACTGGCACCGTGGCAGAGTCAGCCAGCCGGCCGGGGCCGGCCGCGGGCCCCGGTCAGGGCCGGGCCTGCAGTGCCGAGTTTACAGCCTGGGCCGCTGCCGTGCCAGCCGCCCGGGGCCGCTCACTGGCGGCGGGCGGCTCCGGGCTCGGCCGGCCGGGCAGGCGGCCCGGGGCCTGTAACGGATGATCAGATCGTGGAGGGGTTGGCCAGTTCGCCTTTTTTAACCGCCAATGGCGGGGCAGCCGGGCGGGCGGCGATGAAGCGAAGAAAGTGAGTGAAGATGGAGATGCTCACGCTGCAATGCTGATGTTGTGATGAGAGATTGACAACTTGACGGTCTCAGAGTGTACGCATCTTCTATGATAGTTTTTTTTTAATGCACACATGAAATGTGTTGTTTCTCATGGAAGTAAAATTTGTGAAGTCTGTCAATTCTTTGTTGTCGCTCTGTTCTCGCGATGATCAACGTCGTAACGTTTCGATCTGCTCGCACGATCACTGAGAGCAAGATGCAGGTTGCTCTAGGTGAAGATGTCAGCAGTTTCCGACGAGGTGACTTGAAACCCGAGGCTCGATTTGCGACGTGACGAGAAGCAGGGAGTCACGTTACCACCTCTCGTCGACCAGAGCTTGAGACCTGCCAGTGCATCTGTTCTTCCTGCGTCGAATGCTGAGCGACAGGTTTGTCAGCTCTCAGAGAAGACTGTTTTCTAAGCCGAGCGTGCAGGAGGAAGAGTATGTTATCCTCCCTCCTATCGACTCGGCGAGTCGCATGTTCGAGCAGTCGCTTGCTAGCAATCAGGTTCAATCCCCGCATGCAGCGCTCTCAGTCCCTCATGTCAGTCTCAGCTGATCGAGCGAGCGTCGGACGCTAGGACAGCCAAGAGCTCCTATCGAGATGGTGACGACGCTGACAGCGCTGCCTGACTGCTGATGCTGCCTGCTAATACTCCTTGTGCAGGGGGAAGGGAAGAGTCTTCCTCCTCCTATCGACCACAAGACCTCACAGAGAGCTCAGACGCGAAGCTCAGCTCGCCCTCAGGGCTGCGGCCGGAGAATGCAGCACAGGAGGCTCATAGGGAGACCGTCGCTGCTTTTCGAGAAGAGAGTGCGGGCGAGGACTCAGCAGTTGGACTTGAAGGTGATGACGCGAGAGCAGGTTTGCTGAGAACTTAGAGTGTGAGTTGTTCTGACCGACCTTCCCCAGCTGAGGTTGGAGCAGAGAAGAAGGTAACGGCAGGAGTTGCAGAGGGGAGGGCAGACTTGACGCTGATGGGGAACTTGTCAGGCGGCAAGGAGAGGTCCACTGCCGTCTCGCCGGAGGGTGCTGGAGGTACATTTTGAAGTTTGCAAACGTTTGATTGAGCATCTCTTGTAGAACACCACTAACAACCAGCCTTTCTCCAACCTGAGTGAGGAGACGTCCTATCCGCTCCCTTCCTCTCCCTTTGCCCGATCTACTTGCAGGGCCATGACAGCTCCTCCCTCCCTTCCCTTCCCGCCTTCCCCTTCGAACTTTTCTTCGTGTGTCCATCCAGTTGGTCCCCGTCCTTCTCTTTTACCCACCATCTCCCTTTTGTCTTATCCGTTCGATGCAGACCAGCAAGTGGGCAAAGTGAGAGAGTCGATCTCTGCAGATCCAACGCAGGTGGAGGAAGGAAGGGATAAGTAGGAATGCCTGACGCTCGTAGATCTCCGTGCACGAGGGCCACACGCTGCATGGGAGAGAGACAGCAGAGCAGAGGTTAGAGAGGATACGCAACAGGTAGAGGAGGCTCGATGATCTTCGATGGCTGACTGACATGCTCTCCAAGTAACATTCGCAAGAGCTTCCGAGATCAAGGAAGGGAAACGCTGGAAGGCAACGTCAGCAATGTGAAGGACTAGCTTACCTCCTTCTTGTCTTCCTGATGCTCCTCTTGATGGCAGCTGTCTGATGACATGCAGAGCACAAGGGCCTCCTCGCCCCGGCGTCCGAGGCCAGCAGGTCAGCTGAGAAAGAGCTTGAACATGTTTAACTTGTCTTGTTCGTCAGATCACGAGTTCGGCTACAAGACAGAGTTTGAGGTGGCGGACTTCCTCTCGCCTTTTCCTGACGTTGTCTTGTGATTCTTCTTCCCCAGACGAAATCTCCGGGGCTGAATCAAGACAAAGCGCAGCGGGCAGGGCAGCAGGCGTCTGGTGGTGTAACTGCATGGCCTTTCGTCCCCCTTACACGCCTCTCAGCTCCCTACGGTAAACTGCAAGGCCATTCGGAAAGCATGGTCGATGTCGATCCCTTCGCAGTGAAAATGCAGGTGGGACGTCAGAAGCGCGTGGAGGAGAAGCACGGGGGAGGGGCAGTGGCAGCAAGAGTAGCAAGAGCAGTAGTGGAGGGGGAGAAGAAGAAAAGGACAAAAGTAGTAGCTGTACTAGCAGTTGTAGGAGGGGAGGAGGGTCGAGGGAAGGAAGGAAAAGGAGAGGGGGGGGGGGGGGAGGAAGAAGGAAGGAGGGGGAGGGGGAGGAGAAATCTGAGAAGTGACCTGCTGGTTTAGCTGCGTCACATGTTCTTGGGGTTCGTTGACAAGTCGGCACCTGGTGAGTTTCATTTGCTACGGAGAAGGAAAGTGAAGTCATCAACTTCAGATCTTGAAGAGAAACCTCCCGCTGCTCTGTCGGTCGAGGCCGGTGCTGCTTGACCCTCCTTCAAAGACATTCCTCAATGATTGCAGGGGATGCTTCCAAGCTCAAGTTCATTGACAATCTACCGGAATGGGTCAAAGGTAAGAGGAAGAGGGCACGAGAGTGAAGGCGGTTGTGGAGGGAGACGAGGATGATGATGAAGATGAGGGGGACCAGGGGTTGTGGAGGGAGACGAGGATGATGATGAAGATGAGGGGGACCAGGGGTTGTGGAGGGAGACGAGGATGATGATGAAGATGAGGGGGACCAGGGGTTGTGGAGGGAGACGAGGATGATGATGAAGATGAGGGGGACCAGGGGTTGTGGAGGGAGACGAGGATGATGATGAAGATGAGGGGGACCAGGGTTGTGAGAGTGGTGTTGGAAGAGAAGAGGAAGCAGGTTGAAGTTGCAACCCTGATTTGCCGCTTGTTCCAGGGAGTGACGAGTTTCCTCGAGGAGTTCATGGCGAGGGGAGGAAAGAGGTTCTCCCCAGACTTTCCCTCCATGCTCCTGCTCATGCCTCCTCCTCACGTTTGTGGCTGCCATGAACTTTGTCATAGTCTGCCAGTTTGGTCTCATTTTCTCTTTCTTTGATCTCTTTCTTTGTTCTCTTTCTTTGATCTCTTTCTTTGATCTCTTTCTTTAAACTCTTTCTTGATTTCCTTCGCTCACTTGGCTGTTAGTGGTATGGGCAGGACGGTCATCGAGCAGCGATTGCCAGGATACCAACTTCTGGTGCGCGAACTTCCAGTGCACCTCCCCTCCCCCGTTTCTCTTGCCTTCCTGCCTCTGCCTCTGCCTCTGCTTTTCGTGCTGCTTGGCTGCTAATGCATCAACAGGATCAAGCTCAGAGACAGACAGGACGGAGTATCGCCTGCAGGTGCTGCTGACGAGGCGCGAAGGGGGGGAGGTGCTGAGCTCTTGCGCAGCCGGCAACAGCGCATGGCTTTGATGTTGGGTTCGAGCGAACCATGGCACATAAGTAGGAAGAGGACGAGGAGGGACGAGGGGCTGATGCTGTTGCTAGTTCCTTGCGGTCGCACGGCAGTCAGCTGCAGGAGAAAGATCTAGGGGAGGAGAACTTTCAGGTTTCTACCTTTGCCGGAGGTCCCAGGCATCTCACTATGCGCCCACCAGACTCCATCCGGAGGATATGTTCCTAGCGGCCCCAACCGGTTCTCTTCCTTGCTCTTTCACTTTGCTCCTCGTCGCCTGTCCCACTTTTGCCCTCCTCCTCTTGCAGCCTCCTTTGAGTCTGCTCCTGCTCCTGCTCCTGCTCCTGCTCCTGCTCCTGCTCCTGCTCCTCAACCCTTTCCCTTTCTGACTCGAAGGTGCGCAGGCAGAAGCACAATGGAAGCGACGGCAATCGTGCTCAGGCATTCTTCATTCATCCTCTCTCCCTCAATTTTCTCATCTCATCTGCTCTGCACACGCTGAGAATCTTTTCAGGCTCGAGCAGAGGTGGCTGTCGCTGCTCCTATCAAGCTTCCTCGCCAGGTTTCACTCCCTGCTCCTCCACTCCTGCATGATCTGTGCGAGGTGACGTGGCGAGCAGGAGGGCTTCATGGTAGACCGCAACAAAGATCCTGGGATAGGAGAGGGGAGGTAAGCCGACTATCCTCCTCCTTCTTCCTCTCACCTCACGGCAGAGCTGCTGCTCATCGCACGACAGCTGAGAGAGAGCAGGTGGGTGTCTTGCCTTGCAGTATCCTGACTCCCTCCCTCCCTCCGCTTGCTCTCCTGTCATGCCCTCCTCTTGGTTTTGTGTTTCTCATTTTCTCGTCTCGTCCTTCAGTCTGTCACTGTTAACAACGAAATCACCGAGGAGAGCAAACTAGCTCACAAGTTTTCTCGCGTTCTCGAGGGACCTGGGAAGGTGAGGGAGGAAACGAGGAGACGAGAAAGCAAGAGGGACGAGAGCGAGACAATTGACCAGCAATGGGGAGGAGATTCCAGGAAGGGAAGAGTAGCAAGGAGAAGGAGGAGACAGGGAAAAGGGGAGAAGGAAGAGAGAGTTTAGTTTCTTTCAGAGGAGAAAGTAGAGGAAGGAAGAGAGAGTTTAGTTTCTTTCAGAGGAGAAAGTAGAGGAAGGAAGAGGAAGAGGAGGAGAAAAGGTCAGAAGAAGTAGAGGAAGGAAGAGGAAGAGGAGACAAATGCATCTTCTGACCTTTTCTTGTAGCTGGAAGACACAGACTACGACGAGCTTGATCTTCGTCCCTCGCAGCTGGCGACTAAAATCAAAGGTCATCAACTCTCCTCCTCTCTAACGTCTTTGCCTTCTCCTTCTATTCATGCCATGGCTTGTGGCTCCTGCTGCCTCCCCTGTCTCATTCCTTGCCTTCCTGACTGATGGCAGAAAAACGAGGAGCATACGCTGTGCCCAAGGACCAGGGGCAGGTAACGAGAAAGAGGAGGAGACTGCGGGAGTGTGAGACTATCAGGAAGTGTGATGGGAGGGAGGGAGAGGGTAGTAGGGAGGGGAAGGAGATAGCAGGGAGGGGAGGGGTAGCAGGAATGGGGATGGGGTAGTAGGAATGGGGAAGGAGGTATTAGGGAGGGGATGAGAGGGGGGGGGAGGATGACAGCGATGAGCAGGAGGAGATTCGAGATGCTCGACCCATTCCGATGGAACTGCAGCTGAAGCAGAACGCGTTTGATCGACAGAAAGGTTCAGGAGAGGACAAGATGCGATCAGCCTTCTACTAGCTCCTCATAAGGTTCAGGAGAGGACAAGATGCGATCAGCCTTCTACTAGCTCCTCATCTCAATGCCAGGAGAGGAGGTGAAGGGGAGGAACTGAGAGAAGAAGAGCAAAGGGAGAGGAGGATACTTGTCATGTTGATTTTCTTGTAAATATTCATGTCACATCAACGTTGCTTCCTCTCCAGCTTCTTCTGCAGTTTCTCCTCAACAACCTCAGACCTGCATCAATGTAAGTACTTCCCCCCTTCTCCTTCTCCTTCCCCTCACACTCCTCCTCCTCCGCTTGCCCCTGCCCCTGCCCCTGCCCCTGCCCCTGCCCCTGCCCCTGCCCCTCTCCTCACTCCCTTCTGCCTCTCTATGCTCGCTTTTGAAGTCAAGGAACGCACAAGGCAGTCAACTTCTCGGTGTCGAGCTTCGCCACCGCAGCGCGCCATCGTCTCCTCCCCATCTCCTCCTCCACCTGCTCCTGCAGTTTTGCCAGCTCAGCCGTCGGCATCTGCGCGAGAGCGGAGGACGGAGGATGGGGGGCCTCGCTGCTCGTGCCCTTGGTGAGCTGCTTGCGCCAGATGTCGTCGACTCGCAGGATCGGATCTCTCACTCTATGCTCTCGCATGCTCATCTTGTCGCTCTTCAGCTTCTCTGCCTCCCGCTGCCGCTGCCGGGAGAAGTTTTCATCCTTTCGAATCTGTGAGCTTGTCAGGCAGTTGCTGGAGCAGATGCTGGAGCGACAGTGAAAGCAGGTGTGCGTGAGAGAGGGGGGGACGAGTCTACTCTGTCGAGAGAATGGTTGGATGGGGAGGATGAGGAGGATGGGGAGGATGGGGAGGAGGAGGATGAGCGTGACGATGAGGAGGAGGAGGAGGAGGAGGAGGAGG